ATTTATGAAAATATAATATATGTAAGGAAAAACTGTGACGCATTTGCAAAAAAAAGTCAAACCCATAACTTTAACATGAGATTTAAGAACAAGTTTGCCGTTTCATGTTTCAGACTCCAAAAATCAAGAAGTTCATTTCTGGGTTATAGTATTGCATTATTTAATAAACTTCCCCAAGATCTGATTGAGCTTCCACTGACCAAATTTAAAACTCAGATCAAGAATACTCTTATGAATAAGGTCTATTATAAAGTTGGTGATTATCAAAATGATCGTATGCGGCTAGCGCCTGCGGCTGACCCCAATGCTGACTGCGATCGCGACAGCTTCTATTCCGAGCGTGGCGACATGCCGCGGCTGCACAATGCATATAACCATGCCTCAGTCACTCCAATACCTTCGAGTACCGAGAGTATAGCGTTGTCTCTTTTTGTCTAGCTATATTTTCAAACCCTATTTTTTTCAACAGATTTCAATATTTATGACAACGAAAGAAAATAAAAAATAAAATTGAAATCTAAAACTGAACACCACTGGAACTGCAGTCTGCGGTCGCTGCACGCCGCAGCCGTAGAGTCTAGTAGTGTCGCCTGCAGCCTGCAGCTGCGGCATGTGGTCTGCGGTTCAGTTTGGACTTGTACCTTTAGTCATTTTTACCCGGCTGCGCAATGCAAGAGCGCGAAGCGCGACGCGCAGAGAGGGTTATGTGTTTAACAGTCTATATATGTATGTTTGTTCCTTTGTGGCACACTAGAGACCAAACGCCTGGACCGATTTTGATGATTCATTCATCGATCGATTCGTCTCAATCATAGGAGTGCTACTAAAGATATGATAGTAATCAAAATTCAATATGGGCAAAATTAGGCGCCATATTGTGACGTAGTAAAATAAATAAGTTGACAAAATATGTCGAGTATCACTGTCTAGATAATCTAAAATCATATTTAGGTTCCTAACACCATTTTTCATTTTATATGATTGTTTAGGATCTACAACGCTTTAAAGTTGAATATTAACCACTTACGCTTTTAATTTGAATCTTACGTTTGTATGGATCTGTGTTACATTTTCACCTAAAAAATACTGAATGGATTTTAATGAAACTTAACAGTAATATAGCTCATATATGATAATTACATATATATAATAATTTATGTAGTTATTGAGTGAATTGGCCAATATATAACAATAAGTGTTACATACAACGGAAAAAAATCTCCCACCTGCGAGCCATTTTGGCCTGCACTGCAAAAACAATAAAAGTTACATGAATGTCATGTAGAATGAAAATGTATCTCTTAAATAGTTCTAAAAAAAGTCCGTGACACCATATATCTATTTTTAATGTGTAAGTTATAGTAGCATTATCGCTAAAATAGTGAATCAAAACTAAAATATTATTGGATATCTATTTCCAAAATGCACATTTTGTATTAACAAATCATTTTTTATCAAAACAAATACTTTTATCGCTTTTGATATTTAAAGACGATACACTTTGCTTTTTACACTATGTCATTTCGACAAATATTTAAAAAGTTACAACAATGACAAAGTGATAGCGCGGTGTACTATGTAAAAGAAAAAATAATGGGGTATTCGCAGTATCTGATCCTATACGAAGTACTAACAATAAAACTGTGATACAGTTCCTTCTTATTAAATGATGAAAAATATATTATCATAATAGGTATTTATGATTATTGAATTTTAATGAAAAACTCAGAATTTTACTGTTTTTAATTTTTTTTAACGATATTACTTAACCTAAAGAAAGGTTTACTAGAAAAAAAAACCATCCGGATGTGGGTTACCTACAATGCGAAGAGATGGCGCTGCCTTGCAGCTTAAGGCTAGGAAAATTTCGACGCGGCGAATAGGGCCGTGATAGCATAATGGTCAGTGCATTCGCCCGGATAGCGAAGGATGCGGGTTCGAGTCCCGTCCGCTGCCTGGTCCGCGTGGATATTTTTTTCTATTAAACTTTTCTTTAGATTTAAACATCTAGCAGTTAAATGCTTAAAAAATAAATAAAATCATAGATATTACTTAATGTTACAAAAAAGGTTTACTTAATATAATGACAAATAACCGATTTTTCGCTAGTAAGTACATACTTATTGGAATCCCTGTATTTATTAATCAACTCGCGATAATATTGGTTTTGTAATAATTCTGCAAAATTCAAAGTAAATAATGTAGACTCTTATAGGTAAATCACCCCTTTCATCACCCTACGCCTATAAGTATTGCGATATTGTAGCTAAGAACCAAGTTCCCATCTACTTCTATATGGGAATTCATTATATTCGATTTAGCTATTAGGGCACGGAAGCGCAACAAACAAACTCACTTTCGCATCTATAATATTATATTATACTACTAGTGATCCACCCGGGCATTGTACGGGCAAAATTTATTTATCGGGATAAAATATAGCCTATGTCACTCGGACAAAATGTATTTAAAGAAAAATGTTATAATAAATAATGTAGCTACCTTATGATGAATTAATATTTGAAACCGGTTCAGTAGTTTGACAGATTATTTGTTACAAACATACAAATCTTGCCTCTTTATAATATTAGTATAGATAGTTAAGATAAGATAAGTATTTAATTGATGAAAAAGATTTAAAAATAAAGTAAGTAATAGGTTTATTTGATTATATTTGTAAAAGTTACTTAGCATTTGTGCTTAACAGTGATACGTTATTCGGTATTTTTATAACAAAAAAAAATTGGAAAATAATTGCCATGATTGCACTACTGGGAGTACTCTTCATTCGAGCTTTACACTACCAATTAAAAAGGGTCGAACACAAAGTCTTTGACCTGTTAAATGTGAACGCTTTAAAAGAAAACTACAAAGAGAACTATAAATTGATAATAAATGAGATTGCTATGGTGCTCTTCCTAATTTTATTATGCGCCTTTAGTTTAATCAAATATTATAAACTTTGCTTTGGTGATTGCATAATTATTTAATTTAGTGATCTAAGGCAGTTGCCACCATTGTTCAAAACAACAGACGGGAATTACTGCTTTCTTCAACCTGCGACATAAACGTCATTGATTGGTATTGTATATAGGGTGATTAAAAACATTTGAAGTTAACTTCTGGCATCTACAGATTGGGTTTCTGTGAATTATGTAGGTATATCAAATTATGAGACTAGGGACTGACACTGAATTTGTGTATATCACAATCTTAGACGTCCGGCATTGACATGACAATGCAGCCACTACCAATTTTAAATAGTCGACGAATAAATGTAAATGAATTTTATTATCAGTAATTTTATTTAGCAGTAAATCTAAACTATTAAAAAAAACATAAACAATAGATGACTTTTTGAGTAAGTGCTAGTTTACTATAAAATTTACATACATTAGAGATATTTATGTAACGATTTGATTTAACTTCACACATTTTTGCGAAAATTGAGGCCCATCTGTAGCCTTGACCCCGCTGGTAAAGTCTTTATATGTCTTAATAAATCAATCTTTTAGACCGACGCAAGGTACTTAATAATTCCCGCGATATTAATTCCCTTACTGAAGTAACAAGACTACGATATATACCGTCTTAAAATACACACTAAAAAGTGTGAAATAAAAAAGGTGAATTTAAAAAATCAAAAAACCCGACTGCTTAATTATTCTTTCATTAAAAACTGAAAAGAAAAAAATAAGTCCAGTAGTCTATAATTCTGTTAATAAGGAACAAAGCTACTTTAACAGTCGGGACCCACTGTTGAAAAATATTATGTATTCTTGAATATCTAATGGGTCCCGACTGTTAAAGTAGTAGTAGTTTTAATTTTAGCTTTTTTTCATAACAGTAATATGGTACCTATCTGATGCCGCATCCTTTATATATAAATAGAAAGTTAACTTTAAAATTTATTAATATTATAAAATTTTATTATAAAAAATGAAATTATATTTTTTTTATATACTCGTATATCTAATATATAGAATTCTCGTGTCGCGGTGTACGTAATTGAACTACTCCGAAACGTCTCGATCGATTTTCGTAAATTTTTATATGCATATTCAATAGGTCTGTAAATCGGACACATAGAATAAAATCGGATACATCATACAAAATTACATACAACCCTAAATTTTCACCCTTCTATCACGAACCCTTATTTTTTTATGGCGGTACGAAGTTCGCTGGGTTAGTTATAACTTCCTTGCAGCTTAAGAAAGGGTAAAAAGACATCGACACGGCCGTCAGGGCCGCGGTAGCATAATGGTCAGTGCATTCGCCCGGAAAGCGAAGGGTCCGGGTTTGACTCCCATCTGCTGGCTGGTCCACGTGGAATCTTTTCAAGTAATATTTTCTTTAGATTTAAACATGCTTAAAAAATATAAAACCTATTAGAAGTTTGTGGTCATTAGAATAAAATAAATATTCTTCTATACAACTTCTATACAACATACGTGATTTTTGACGTGGTTTGCTCGATATTATAATATAATGTCTTATGTTGTATACATAAATTATACGGAACCTTTCGTACGTAAGTGCTAGTTTACTATAAAATTTACATACATTAGAGATATTTATGTAACGATTTGATTTAACTTCACACATTTTTGCGAAAATTGAGGCCCATCTGTAGCCTTGACCCCGCTGGTAAAGTCTTTATATGTCTTAATAAATCAATCTTTTAGACCGACGCAAGGTACTTAATAATTCCCGCGATATTAATTCCCTTACTGAAGTAACAAGACTACGATATATACCGTCTTAAAATACACACTAAAAAGTGTGAAATAAAAAAGGTGAATTTAAAAAATCAAAAAACCCGACTGCTTAATTATTCTTTCATTAAAAACTGAAAAGAAAAAAATAAGTCCAGTAGTCTATAATTCTGTTAATAAGGAACAAAGCTACTTTAACAGTCGGGACCCACTGTTGAAAAATATTATGTATTCTTGAATATCTAATGGGTCCCGACTGTTAAAGTAGTAGTAGTTTTAATTTTAGCTTTTTTTCATAACAGTAATATGGTACCTATCTGATGCCGCATCCTTTATATATAAATAGAAAGTTAACTTTAAAATTTATTAATATTATAAAATTTTATTATAAAAAATGAAATTATATTTTTTTTATATACTCGTATATCTAATATATAGAATTCTCGTGTCGCGGTGTACGTAATTGAACTACTCCGAAACGTCTCGATCGATTTTCGTAAATTTTTATATGCATATTCAATAGGTCTGTAAATCGGACACATAGAATAAAATCGGATACATCATACAAAATTACATACAACCCTAAATTTTCACCCTTCTACCACGAACCCTTATTTTTTTATGGCGGTACGAAGTTCGCTGGGTTAGTTATAACTTCCTTGCAGCTTAAGAAAGGGTAAAAAGACATCGACACGGCCGTCAGGGCCGCGGTAGCATAATGGTCAGTGCATTCGCCCGGAAAGCGAAGGGTCCGGGTTTGACTCCCATCTGCTGGCTGGTCCACGTGGAATCTTTTCAAGTAATATTTTCTTTAGATTTAAACATGCTTAAAAAATATAAAACCTATTAGAAGTTTGTGGTCATTAGAATAAAATAAATATTCTTCTATACAACTTCTATACAACATACGTGATTTTTGACGTGGTTTGCTCGATATTATAATATAATGTCTTATGTTGTATACATAAATTATACGGAACCTTTCGTACGCGGGTGCGATTCGCACTTGGCCGGTTTTTATTTAGACAAATTAGATAACTGAACCTCCTTTTACTTACTACCTCTCATGATCCGCATTGTACCATGAATTAAGTACGGTCTAAACTGCTGTCATCCGCATGCCAGTCATTCGCATTTATTTGCACAATGAATGTTACTAATGTATAGGCAGTACGGAAATGTTCAAAGCCGTTAAATTTAAAAAAAACTCAAGGGAATGCCAATTTAAAATAATTTGTAAGTTTATCGTCTTTTAGCTTTTAATAAATAAACGAACGAAGTATTATTTGGAATATTGATTAGACTACGGTTTATTATTATAAATGGCCGATGATGACGATGAAGGTGGTTTTGGGGGTTTGTATGAGGATGGACACTGGATATGGGATGACATAAGCAAATCACTAGTTTTTGTAAGGTAAATCCATATTTATGTATTATTTACACTATTTTCACCTGGTTGATATCATCTGGTTGCACAGAGTGCAATCTATCTGTAATATTATCATACAGGTCATAGATATAAAATGTCGGAATATGGATATGGATAGGAACTTGAGACTTATAAAACTACTTCGGATTAACTAATTAATTAGTTTTGGATAAAATCAGAAAAGGAAATGAGTCCGATCCCATTATGATTCGGTACTTATTTATCGGATTGGGTTTAGAATATTTTACGACATAGAGATCCTTTTCCTCATAGGTGTCGCCTTGAAATCGTTTCACCTGAATGAAGGTGATATCAGCCAAATGAGGTTATATTTTGTACATAATAATAAGTAATAAAATTATATTATTGATTTGAGTTTTCTCATTGTTGTCGTTTTTGCTTCTGCCTGACCAAACATTTCTGCTTCCTGCACGTCGAAACTCGAATGCAGTTACTAGGTGATTCCAATACTAACCGAGTTCATAACTTTACACAGTCCATTTTTGAATATAAGTTTGGCGACTGCGTTAATTGTGTGTGTTCAATTACAAAAGAAATCCTTGTTAAACCAAGTTACAGTTCACTTGCTTCTAAACCAACTTGATGAATCTTGAGTACCTACCTACTTGAGTAGCTAACCGTTATCTAGTGTACCTAAAAAAATGGCTTCTCTATTTCATTTATAAGTATAAGTAAGAGTTGAATGTTTCAGCGATTTGCCTCCGAAACCTGTGGAAGCAATCCAGATTCTGGCTAAAGCACCAACGGGCACAGTGGAGTTCAGAGATGATGTCGATTTAATAGAACAGGTGTGTATCGTTAATAAAGGTGTGTTATCGTTATCGTTTTCAGGAAAAGTATAAATTGGTACCTATTTGTAGGTGATTGATTAATCCCTGTTACAGCAAAGTCATTCATCATTCATTGTTAATAAATTATTAAAAATACTTGGTTACTATGGTTTTTTTAGACAGGTTTTTTCCGGTTGTATTTACGATATATTTTTATTAAAAGTATTGTTTCTTTAATATCAAACATTAATAATCCCAAGATTCAATATTCCTTAAAGGGTTCTTCCAACATAGTTTTTAAGCAATTGATTCCCCTTATACGTATATCTGACAACTATTATATCGTCGTTAGCTTACTAATCTAGGATAATCAGAACATATATGTATATTTGCTCTCGAGACTTCATAATAGAACGATTAATGAAAATCTCGGTAAGATGAGACTAAAATAAAAGGACTTATCAATATTATAAGGTAATCTCAATAGGAAACCGAACATTAACATTACATTCTGAATTTAACTTATCCAGATACGATTTCGACGACGTTATCAAAGGAAGCTAAAGCCGGGACAAGAGGATGTGATAACAGTTCAGGTAATCGATTCACAGCTGTTATACCCCAGTACACGCACGTTTACGACATCTACATCTGCTTTAAGATATAAGTATACATATATAAACTGTACTCGTATTTTTAAGTAATAAATAAACAAATAAACACATAATCATAAAACATTTCCGGAACTGGCCACTTATGTTATAATAATTAAATACTTATAACAAAATAAAAATACACGAGTATATATTCTATAACAATATTTAATTAGAATTTTGAACATGCTAGATTAGGCCTTCAGACGGCACGCGCATGCTACCACGACGCGTAAACCACGCGACTCAGCACCCACGTGTCACACAAGAGTTGAGCTTGGATTTTTACATCGTGTGATGTGTCTTATGCAACATATTTCAAAACTTGTAAGATGGTGCTGACGCAAGGGACCTACCTGCGCGATTCGTCTGAATCCGAACAAGGCTTTAAGATAAATAAATTTTACGATTATTTAAATCATAATAATCATGACACTTAGTAGGTGAAGAGGAAATTTAATAACTATCAAGTAAATATAGTTATGTACTACATGATTTAACTTTTTGTAATTTCCAGGACGTGAAAGATATCGCATTATACACAGCCCCCGTGCAAATTATGAGCCCTCTGCTAATAAATATGCTACACCTTCCGACAACCGAACGGTTTATAAGGGCGCTTATTCTATATTCGGCATATTACTTACAGGTAAGCTTACATTTATGTTGATATGGACGTCCATCCGGATTATGTTGCTCTATGGATCTAAAGCTTGTCTTTGATAGACCCTTACCCCTTGTTTACACCAAGGTATATTACATGTATTTAACTAATTTTAAAATAATGTCTTCATTTTAGTTTATATTTATTACATGTATTAACATGTTCTTAGTATACTATACTTTCATCAAACTTGTTGGATTAACAAAATTATGAGAATCGTGGACATTATCCGCAGTTGCGGGAACGTATTTAGGAAGCTTTGGTCGCGTCAAATATTGAAACGCCAACTTATTTCAATTTTCCATATTGAAAAAATCATTTTATTGGCCTTAGAAACCTGTGTTAACTCTAAAATAACATTTGTATACGTTAATATAATACAAAACGTAGACAGAAATTATAATCGATGTTATTGTGACGAAGTGCGGTTTCAATGATAGTAATAAAGGAGATGGCTCAAAAATGGTAGTCGATTTCCGGCAGCGACGAGACATATATCATTTGAGAGCTCTTTTTGTATTATAACATTAACGGATACTTTTTTTATCTCCGATTAATTTTAAATCGTGTTTTAAAATTTAACAATTTTGTAAGAATGCTGGCCACCCTGTTATTGTAAATAATTAAATAGAAATAAGTTCTTAAACTCCCTTTTTCCAATTTGTCATAATTTTGTTTAAATAATAAAAGTATGACAAACCATAAAGTTATAATTGTTACTTTCAAATTCTTTCTTTATAAATCTTCATTGTTTTGTATTATCTATGTATACGACTGAAGGTCATGAAGAAATTAAAAAAATATATATTATATTTTTAGTGTGTGGCAGCTTAGAACGTCAACTCAATCACTATGGCAAATGACAATCAGTCCAGTTATACATGATATTCGTGATATCGTGGTGGACTTTTTACACCAATTTACTTGTAACTGATTCCTCTTGAAATAAAGTACCCACAAAATACTTAATAATGTAAACAGAACAATTATTGCTGCTTTAGTTACCTATTAAATACAATATATTTTGATGTTTTAGCAACAATAAAAAATAAACTTGCCATTTGCCAATCAACAGTTATATAATTTTATATTATATTTTATAATATTTTTATTTAAATAAAACAAATTTTACGGGTTAGATGCACTGAATTTATTTATTTATTGACGTTTCGCACCCTTTGCTAGAATGCGTCGTGAAAATAATGATTTTTTATTTACTTTGTCGAGCCACCTTCGAAAGACTTTTATTGAGAGTTCGGATTTTTCATTGGAAGATTTTTAAAACTTTATTGTTTATACTTGAATCTATTTGCTAATTAAATTAATAAAGTAGGGGAGAGGGTGGCACGTTAGCACATTTTTCATATTTGGACTCATAAAAAATCAACTGTAAAGAGAAGTTGAAAAAACATAGTTTTCTTAGCTTACTTACTCCTTTGTTAATATAAAAATGATGTAATGTTTGAATTTGCTGAAACCGTTAAAGAGAAATAATGTGTTTTTATAAAACACAAATTTGTTCAAATCTGCCTCCCTAAGGGGGGCACATTTGAATCGACATGGAGCAGTTCTGAACAATGGGTAAAGCAGAAAAAAAGAGGATAGAATAATTTATCTTTATTATAATGATATTCATTGTTATTAAAATATAAAATAAACTTATACGAAACTTCTAAAATCTTGCATTACAGTAACAAAAATACAAATAGTAATTTTTAATTGTGTCTGACTTCCTCCTTGTTAACATAAGAAATAATATTGTACAAGTGTTTAAGTTTATTGTTATTATAATTATATTATACTGTCAAACTTCTAAACCACAAAAAACGTCGTTCTAAAAATAGTTCACTTCTTGGAGCTAAGTTTGCATTTGATCGTCCTGTTCAAATCTGCCCCATGGTCACTTGGAAGATAAAATATTACAAAAAAAAGTGAAATAACTGGCAAGCAAAAACTACAAGGTGGATTGAAAACTAATAAGTAGTGCACAATTTTGTGAAAGATTTAGTTGGAAACCTTTACTCACGTGATAGTAAATCCCTTACAACATTTATTTTATTTTTTTACTTCTCCAGTACAAATACGACCACAGGTTATAAATCTTTTTGAAAACGAAACGCGCGCGCTTTGTTACTTGACGTTTGTCACAGCTAGTGCTGCCAATAATAAAATGTAGTTACGGCATAAATTAACATAAAGTTACGTTCAGAAATCAACATGTTCAAATCTGCCCCTGTGCTACGGTGCCTCCTTCTCCCCTCCTTTATTTAATTCTTTTTTGTAATTTTAAGTTTATTTATTTGACCCTAACTACCGTAAACTACCACCGGTTCCAATATTGGGAGACCTTTCTGAGAAGAACCGGCGAAACAAACTATTTTTTGTAATTGTCTACTTAAGTAATTGTCTGTGATCAATGTTTTTCTTGGAGACCTCAGGTGGAGACGATCAGAAAGAAAATTTTTGCTGCATACAACTTGCTCAACCGATTACGTAACTATTTGCCGACCACCACCAAAATCACTCTGGCGCAGACTCTTTTACTGACTATCATTGACTACTCTGATTCCTGTTATACAGATCTTACTGAAGAACTCTTAAATAAGATAGAGCGTCTGCAGGACTTATGTATCCGATTTATTTTCAACCTTCGTAAATATGACCACATCTCATACTTCCGTTCTAAACTTAACTGGCTCCCTATTCGCCGGCGCAGGGACTTACACACTCTTACGCTTCTTTACTCCGTACTTTTCTTACCCACTTCTCCTCATTACCTAAAAGAATGCTTCTCGTTTCTCTTTTCTACTTGACAGCGCACTTTGCGATCTTCTTCTAACCTATCTCTTGAAATTCCAAGTCATTCTACTGATTTCTTTTCCTATTCCTTCTCTGTGTATTCTGTCTATGGAACTCTTTGCCAGAAACTATTCGAAGGGCTCGCACTCTGAACTCGTTTAGGGATCAAGTTCGGAGTTATTTGTTATCCCAACAGTAATGTAAGAAATTTCCTTCATCCTCTCTTTTTCCTTCCTTAGATATATCTGTTTTCCTGCCATTGATATTATTATTATTATTTTCTATAACACCGCTCCTTTTCTCCTTCATATTTATTTATCTTTGTATTATGGGTTGCCTGGAAGAGATTGCTGCCTAGCAATAAGGCCGCCTATATTGTGTGCGTTCTATCTATCATGTTTTTTAATATACTTGTGTGTCTTGTATGTTGTATTACAATAAAGAAAATTATTATTATTAAGTTATTTTGGTCCTGCTGACTAAAATCTTCTTTCCTTCATATCTTAGGTGCTGGGGTATACTAATATATTATTCCAGGGCTCCATGGGGTACGGGATTGGGTTTAGGCTGACATTTGCTTCAGGTAGGCAATGTGACGAAGTCTTTTTTGCATCTGAAAATGTTGAAAAATACATTAGTTCAGCCTTAAATTTGGAATTCATAAATACCCCCATGCCAGTTAACTGTATAAGATCAATGTTGCCAGTTTTTCAAAACGATACAATTATAAGTTTTTTTTTATTGTAAGGACAGTTAAGTACCTACTTAGTTGAACTTATTACTTGTTTGACTACGTAGGTACTTATGAATAACTTCTTTTTAAAGATTGCAGATGAAATGGCGAACCGTATTATGGAGTTAGAAAAAAAAATAAGAACTCCGGATTGTGATATACTAGAACATGAATTTCGCGATAATTTGGCGGATTTGCGACTTTTGGTGGCCAAAGAATATAGTGTAATGCTCATTGGTTAGACTACTACAGTTCAAGTAGGTCAAATAAAATATCTAAGCTGGGTATTAGGTCAACTGCACAGAAATAAATAATACATTTATTTCTGTGGTCAACTGGGTGATCAAATTCCACATTGTTGTGTTATTAAAAGGTTAATCATCTAGGTTAGATAGCTATATAAGAAAACTAAATAATTAAAATGAAGAACACCTAGAGGCCCGATGCCGCTCAATCCCCTCCCGTTTCGAATGCACATCTGAGTGCAACCGTCCGTTAGCACATTATGCGTTATTTTAAAATACTAGCAAACCAGTGAACCAAATGTTCACCAAAAAAAAAAAAAATTTTAATTAATTGAGAACTTCGGAGATTTTGTGTGGTTTCGTTTGAAATAGAAATCACGTGATTTATCGAAAACCGGAAGTGCTACGTTACTCACATCCGGTTTGTAGTCTTATCAGACTATTCTCAACTTATAACTTAAACATTCTCTTTATCTATCTCTTACGGTTTGGCCGCTGAAACAGCACCACGGACGGACTTGTCTAATAGATAAGAGATGCATTAGTTTAAACTAACGCAGTGCTGCATCATCCCCTTAGGGGATGATCGCTTCAGATGAAGCTTGTAAGGCTCTTCAGAAGAGCCAAAAAAAAATTAATGAAGTCATGTGCAGTTTGGTCACCTAAAATACGAATAAGCAGTAGTAGGTACCTATAATTTATATACCTCTTTTATTATAATTATAGCAGGTAAAAAGGTGAGTTGTGTACTTCTATTGAATTACAACAGATATCTTGTAATGACTTTGTAGGTAGGCAAGGTTAATATTTACATAAAAAATGTCTTTACTTACATTTTGATGAAATTCCAAACGTTTACAAACATCGTTTGTTCAGGTGGAAGTGACATGCGGAAATTCCACCATATGGGGCCTGCGAAGAAACGTAGATCTTTATCAGACAAAGACGCACGACTATTTGAAACATTGCTTAGAATGTGCGTACAAATTGTTTGGTTGGCTCTGGGGAGAAAGTCCTTTAATCAAATAGGTTGGTAACTATATCGGTAAATATTTTTATTTAAAAAATATTTTCTAATATATATAACTAAATACCTAGTAACCTATGTTTAACAGCCTTAATTAAACTGTATGTGGGTACGGAACGAATATAAGTTTTTTTTTTTCAAAAAGAACACTTAAGAAGCATAATATAAAATAAACCTAGCTATAAAATTAAGTCAATAGCGCGTTCATGCATCACCATATCATGTGATTGTAGTAACACTCACAATGGGCGGTCATTAGAATAAGTGACCACAGATCTTTTATCTCCAGCTCTTCCGTGTTTAGAAATACACGTAGTTACGTAAAGTCGTTGAATATGGCTAATATACAGTCGTTAGCTTAGCTCTCACCAATCCGCACTGGCGTGATAGGCTATTTATCCTCCCTAGGGAAGGCCTGTGTGTGCCCTAGCAATGGGAATTTGACACTAATAAACAGATGATCATTTGCTTCCCTACTTTAATTACTCTTTACCAGTTGGTAATCAAATGCATTGCTATGGCCTACTCCATCATATGAGGACACCTCACTCACAAAATAGAGAGTACAGAAGGTAATCCCATGTATGTACTTCACTTTGCATACCTAAGCTAAGTAACAGCATGTAAGTGACAGCATGATGATATGTAGCCTATATGTTGACCTGACTACTTCATAATATTCGTGCCAAATTTGAAGTAAATCCATGCAGTACTTTTTAAGTTTATCTCGGACATACATACAGACAAACAGACTAAAATTCTAAAAACTATATTTTTGCCTTCGGTATCGATTGTAGATCGCACCACAAGTATTCTTTAAAAAAATAATCAATGTACAGTTTTGACTTTCCTACCATTTTATTATATGTTTGGATTAAAAAAACGGCAATTCACCGTTTAATGTTGAATATAAAAACCTGTCTACTGAAGAGATATTAACTTGATTTTTGTTGCTCGATTTTTGCACAAAGGTTCACAGACGCGTGTCTCAAGCGGATGGAACACGCGTTCGCAGTGGTCGGAACTAGTTCGAAATATCGTGTCCGTGGGCGGTGTCTATGTGTGCGTTTCTCGAGCGCACTTTGTATGTAGATTACTTTCTATACTGCCTATTTTTGCCTTAATTAAGTCTTATTAATAATTAAATTAGAATTGGAAACAAACCGCATATTCAAATCGGAGATATTCAACGCGGTGGAGCACACTTTGAAAACGGGTTACATCAACAATATGGCAAAAGAGGAGCGTGTGGTTCTACTTGGACACTGCCTGCGCTATGACAAGAAACTCAATACACGCTCACCCCTGATGAATGAAGTTTTTTGTCACCGGCCCATCGACTACCGCATGATGGGACTAGGTGTTATCAAAGTACAGCAGTAAGCCACTTTTCTATAGTATTTGGGAGTTAAAACAAGTACTCTGTCCGCTGATGGAAAGCGGTCTTTGGACATATTGGACATGGTAGGTAGCCTATGGGCGCCTGCAACACCAAAATTATCACATGCGCGTTGCTGAACCTGTAAAAACTCCACCACGCCACTATTAAAAACGTTTTATAGGAAGGTTTTCGTGTATTTTATGGTTAGAGTAGGAGTACTATATTAATAAGTTGTAATTTTCAATATGTTAGACCCTGTAGATGAGACAACAGGGTGGTACTTCTCTTGGAGAATGATCAGTTCTCCCCCTTTCGAAATTTAAGTTTAAGTTTTACAATTTTAAATTATTTGAGAAAATATTCAAATAATAATATCTAAAATAACTGAAAATTGTAAAATACTTACTCTAAAATATAAGAATATTTAAGGTTCCATACCACGCGATATACCAGGAACCAATCTTAATAAATAAAATTACTTCAATGATTCGTAGTCTTTTGTTTTATAAAATCGATAATATTTTTTTATAAAAAAAAAGTTTACATTTTTTTTCACGCTATGATGAGGCAACTTTAACGCAGAAAACCTGTTTCCGTTTTCAGAATGTCCCCAAGACTTCACTACATGCTCCAAGCAGTAGCAGGTCCAGAGGAGAAACTGAGTGAACTAGGCGTGGTTGTTGGAATCCTCGGGATGCCAAGATCAGCTTTCGATACCATGCTGAGACCACTCCCCACAGCTGTAGAGAAATCTAAGGCGTCTATGTGAGTAAATATTTGAGTTTTCGAAGCTAATTTTACAATGGTTTTCATTTAAAAAATTATTTGTATATATAGATGTGTCTGTGTGCACTCCCAAACCGGTTTTCATTGTTTTAACAATGTTGCAGAAAGTCAAATATGTGAACATACCATTAAATAAAAAATAAAAAAATGACATCTAGTCAGTTCATTAGGTTATTAGCTGACATACTAAGTGCATCTTGTGCACAACGATCGTGATAATGATTTACGTTATCTGCAAACACTATATGGCGTCAAATGTTGTTATATAACGGCTTTAAATTTCATATAAAATACGAAAATGGGTTTCCCTCTTTCATTTTGAAAGGAAAGAAACCCATTTTGAAAGTAAAGAATGGCTTACAACTCAATGTGAAGAGTTTTCTTCGCATTCGGTTGTTAAGAAGCTTAAAGATGAAGAAACATTCAAAAATCAAAATATCAAAAATATATTTATTCACCAATACAAAATTTTAACTTGGCTTACAATTAAACATTGGTTTTTGCACTGAGCTCAGCTCGTAACGCAAAGACCTAACATTTCAGTTTTTCTAAATGATTCGCATTACAATATTTTATGTTGACAAAACTCGGGACACATTTATGTATTACCGTAACTCACAATGTTGACCACATTGTGAGTTACGGTAATACATAAATGTTCGAGTGACATTAAGAAAAAAAATATGACAATAGTAAAATTATTAAAGTAACTTTAAACATTTTTACTGAATATTTTTACAAGTTACGCATATATTTAATAAAAAATCCTCGAATTATAATTACTCTATGTGTGTATATGTGAGTGTGAGTCTGTGTGTGTGCGAGTGTGGATGTGTGTATGTGAGTGTATGTGTATGCGCGCATGGGTGTGTGCCTGTGATAATTTTCAACTCACCCATTGTTAAGTAAGTAGTCAACTTACAGGCTTGATTATGTCCACTGTTTCCTGATATGACAGATCCATGAGCCTAGAGGAAACCATCCTTTTGACACAAATTATAGACTGAAGGTGAAGATTAGCAAAGAAGCGACAAATCTTGTTGTAAATGAAAGGATGAAAAAATGTGGAATGGCGTTGGATGAATGACGTATGCGTGATAGGCATTGGAATCCGAAAGTTACGTCTAAGGCAAAGAGTTTTATAATCTGGTGATGCAGACACTTTTCCATGCATAGCAAGTATCGATTTTACAATAAAGATCTGACGAACCCTTAACAAGCTGCACTCTTTATAAAGAACATCGGTGGGATACCTAAATGGTTTGTGAAACATTACTTTTAATACAGCGCGCTGAGATCGTTCGACTAGCATCATGCTTGATTTATTAGCTCCACCCCAGGCCAGACAGCAGTAGCAAATCAAGGATTGAGTAAGTGCTTTATATACTAGAAGCATAGTCTCCTTAGTTGCGCTGTGTTGAAGCGCTTTCATGAAGTGTATACTTCTTCTAACCCTACCAGATAGCCATGACAGATGTTTCTTGAAATTAAGTTTTTCATCAACGATTACCCCTAGATATTTTAATGGCATCCACTCTACATATGTTGATGCAGTTATAGATATTCGAACGCGAATCACAAGTATGTACTGTCAAAGTAGTAAGACCTGATGGTTTGGATGCGTCCGTTTTGTGAAAAGCAATCAATTTTGTTTTCATGTGGTTAAGTGACAGAAGCTTCACATTCAACCATCTCCAAACAATCGCCATGCCATGTTCAGCGGTTTTGAGAACACTGTCACATGACTTATCATGAAAGATGACAGCTGTGTCGTCCACGTAACAGATTACATCAGCTTTCATAGAAGACAGTTCCAGTGTGTCGTTCATATAGATGCAAAACAACGTGGGTCCAAGAATGCAGCCTTGTGGGATTCCCACACAAATCCAACTGAGAGCTCATGTTCGAACCGACCCTCACGCGCTGACGACGACCCGACAGGTAACTACGGAACCACTCCAAGGCCGTACCTCTTATCCCCCTGGCCTCCAATTTTCGCAGTAGAATCGGAATTGACACGGTGTCAAAGGCCTTGGCAAGGTCGAGGAAAATACCAATGCAACGCAGATTATTATCCAAAGCCTTAGACACCGCTTCTATCAAGACGATAACCGCATCCTCGGTAGACCTGCCTCTCCTGAATCCAAATTGATTATTGGAAAGCAAATTCTTCGATTCAAGGAATGTTGTGAGACGCTTGTTAACAATTTTCTCCAAGATCTTTGAGAATATATTTAGCAATGAAATAGGCCTGTAATTTTTGGGAGAATTTTTATCACCGTCTTTGTGTATGGGAGTGACAATTGCTAGCTTCCAGCAGTGAGGAAAGATGCCAGAGGTCATACTCAAATTAAATATGTGAGTTAAGGGTTTTATTACCATGTGTTTAATCCGTTTCAATAGTACAGGAGTACAGCCGTCAAAGCCAGGGGCACTGTCGCTCCTGATGAAACATTGCTAATGAAGTGTACAAATTACTCATATCTTAAAACTAAGAATGATCTTACAACTCACTTACTCTTTTCAAGCACTGCAAATTAAAAGATTTATACATGGGCATATTCACAAAAAAAATAGAATTTCATTCAATACAAACATGCTATTTTAAGATATTCGCGTTTAAATACTATCAGTTTATCAGTTATACTATACATTTTTTAAATCAAATATAAATTGATAATTTAATAATCATATAATAGGTATTTATTAAGATTTTATTTAAATATCAATTATAAATCAATAAAAATAAAGTTTTCAAGTATAACATAAAAATCTAAAACACTATACTATATACCCAAATAATTATATTTTTAGTAACATTTTATTATAATGAATATTTTTATTCACCATCTCGACATTTTGTCGGTTTTAATAAATACCCCGTCCTGTAACCCACAAGAAAAGAGGTATCTATGTCCGCAATATGTCTTCTATTATCTATTATTATGTAGTTTAGTTAGAATTTATGAATTAATAGTCGTCAAACATATTTTTCATATTTTAGAAAGTGATAAGTGTATCATATATTAAATTAATATCTACTTGAAATTTATAATCATCGTTCAATACTGTGATGCGTCAGCGTCTGCAAATCAATTGGATTGTTTGCAACTACTACGGCGTCATCAGCTTACAGCAAGCAGTTAACAACTGGATCACCCATTCGCAAACCTACCTTAACATTTGGAGACAGTTCGAGTAAGCTAAACAGCTGGGCTGACAGCACGCAGCCCTGCTTTACACTAACATTGATGCCAAACTAACGCTCATTTTTTTATCGTTATTACCAATGCAAAAGAAAAAAAGAGTCAGAAATAACAAAATTAATTCATAAGCTATACATATAGCCATAGCAATCCCGTTAGGCAGTAGGCCCCCTGGGCGACAAACTGCATGTATGTTGTACAATCTTCATAAGTTGATTTCACAGCACGCACCAGGGCACCATGGATCCCATATCTTAGCAGTACATTCCAGATATCCTTTCGCATAACTCAGTCAAATGCTTTCACAAGATCCACAAAACCGCAAAAATACCTTCCCGTCCAGAGCGAGAATAAGCATTTTCCTCCACATTATCGTCGAGAACTCTCCCCAATATTGCGAGAAAGCTTGATCAGTGTCCCCCCTTCCATTCCGGAATCACTTCTATGCCTCCCACAGCATTCCATCGGATTTCACCCTCATTCTCCTTTCAATTATTTTCATAATCAAACTAATGACTCTGTAGGTCGCGCAGTATAAGCGCAAACTCTTGTCTTTATACAAGGAAATGATGGCTGCGCGCTTCCAGTCCGTTAGAACCCTTCTATGTAGTTTCCCAGCAAAGATTGCATAAATACAAGAAAGCTTCCTTTACCTAAACACCACCCATTCTGTTCATCTCCGCATAAACCAAGTCAATTCCCGCTGCTTTTCCATTTTTCAGATTTCATACCAACCATTCTATCTCATCAATAGAAATGATAACTCTTCTGCAGTGTCACCGAGCCTATCCCAGGTTCACTAACAGTGTCAACAGCCTAGACGCAATCATTTATTTTCACAAAGTATTCGATCTACCGTTCTAACACTTCTTGTTTGTCAGCAAGAATTTAGTGTTATAAGAAGTTTTTGTAATAGGTATATGATTTTGACAGATTTCCATCCGTTAAAATGCTTAAAACAATACAAAAGCAAAGTAAACTGAGCTTTGAAATATTTTTACAAACAATGTTTTTGTTTAGACCTTACACACAAACCTTACATTTTTTACGTGATTTTGGAATGAGTTGACCTAGAAATACAGGTTTGATGAATAAAGAATTTCAATTGAAATATTTTTGTGGGTAGAGTAAGGAACAAAAATAAGTTGAGTAAGAGTAAGAAAAAATAATGCTTGGGATGAGACGTCATAGGATGAATACGAAACAACCCTATAGAAGTGCTCTTACAACGAGATTGTCTTAACGATACCATAAGCAGTTTTGACCAGCATTTTAACACCTACGATGGGCTGAACCGCCGACGGAACCGATTGCTGTAGTCAATGAAGTACAAAATGACAGTGTGGCGGCGAATTCTACGTGCCCCACATATAATTAGCATGGAGGAAATAGTCACTCGCCTCCTCAAGCGATGGCGCTACTGGCGCTGCGATCACAACGTATGGAAGCTTACATCGCGCAAGAGAAATTCTGAGGCTAACACTCCATATATCGGGCATCGTGCCCGACCAACATCAGTCGGGCCGCGGCCCCCGAGCTAACATCAACCAGCTCGACGGAAGATCTTCCCCTTTGGCCTTCCTACACCGCTGACCCTCGACTGAGCACAGCAGCAGCAAGCAACATCAGCAGTCACACAGCAAGCCAGCATCAGCCTCACGGTTCCATCGCAGCTCTCAACGAAGCTTCCTGGCAACCGACGGCATCATCCCGACCTGGTCTCCGCAGCCCACGACCAGTACCTCACTTGTCGGCCGCAAGCACACCGGCGTGGCAGCCCTGCACACCAGCAGCTCGGACCCACTGTCACACTCCACCTGTCTCGAGTCACAGTAGACTGGAGCAACTCTGCAGCACTGGTGACACGCCTTCACCCCACCCGTCTCGACTCACCGCAGACTGGGGCATCCTGCAGCACCCTGGCACTTGCAAGCTCTGACGCACTGACTGCTGAAACTGCACAGACTATCGACCTCCGGTCTCGGAAGGGAGTGATGTGCCTACATCGCGCAACAGAAATTCTGAGGCTAACACTCCATATATACGATGCCCGACCAACATCAGTCGGACCGCGGTCCTCGAGCTAACATCACCCAGGTCGGAGGAAGATCTTCCCCTTTAGCCTTCCTACATCAGGAGTCTTGAATTTGTAGGGTTTTTTAATCAATTATCGGACATTTAAGAGCTGTTCACGAGTCCCTTTACCTTTTATTATCCTATAAGTGTCACACTTTAAAGTTGATTCTTTTTTATGTAGTGGCAGAGTAATTGATTTTGCTCAATCGCCGGGTCACCGGTATGCCAGTGTCACAGATCTCATACATCATACTTACGGCTGAAGCCGTCCCCATGGCTTTTATGATTTCAACAGTTAATTATTGATCAGGCCCAGAAACTTTCCTGTCTTTAAGCTCAGTAATAGCAGATTACTTCAGATAATAATGGGGGATTTTAAATTTACGTTATCGCATGAAATTAATCTGCATAAGTATTATGCGATAGAGTATGATTAAATTATGAAATACGGTCTTAAACTCGTATTTCGTTTCCCAGGTTTTAGGTTTGATTTATATTTGAGAGGAGCTTGACTTTCTTAAAGAGATCCTTGGTTTGCGTTTTCAACGCGTGGTCTTCAATTTCTCCGACACGATGAAATAAAAGCTGTACTATACTGCTTAGCTCTGAGTATTTATCACAATCTTGTAAGTCAGTCCTGTAACTTTACTAATTATTTTCTTGATTGGTGGTCTTGCCCTCATCCGCCTAATGCGTACCGTCCGAAAAAGGTACTTCGTTCCAAAAATAACAACACTACTGTATAATAGATAAGTCGCCTTATGAATGTGGTTATTTCGGTGTCACTCTTCGCTTACGTAATCTTAATATCACGAGAAATTATCATAATGTATCCAATTAAAATCATATAGGTTTATGATTTGTTTTGCCCTGTCTATACCTGTTTAAGTCTACTTACGTAGAAATTTATTTGAGCGAAGGAGAAAGAGTATTACTCCACGAAGCAGTCCCTGAACAGTGCAAGCCACGCCCATCACAGAATTTGGCTAGCCCTAGTAATGCCCTAGTACCATATTCGTTTTGTTTTCGTTTCTGTGCCGAATCCGTACAGATTATTTACCAAGTGCATGTTATTAAATGAGAGTTTACTTTCTTTCTTTATCGAGTGCTACCGAAACATTCCACAAGCCCGTCCCTCCCGTCACTCCCGCAAACAAAATTATAGCAAACAAAACAAAACGATACCTCACTGAAACCGAGCCAATCAAGAAGTGGTTCTAGGTAAAGAATCTGTATTGATTCGGTACAGAAACGAAAACGAAACGAGCCCCCACCGACCCGATAATGTCGGCGCCTAAGCTAAGAGAGTCTAGTAGACTCTTTTTGAATCTTCTAATGGTGCCTCTCCAACTAAGGACCTATTCCCACCGGAATAGCAGCAGCCGGCAGCGACAAACGCAGCGAGTGCTTTCAGCATGAAATAATTTTAAACTTTATCTACAAACTTAAAAGACCAGTCCCCATAGCATGAGCACCCCAATTTACATTATATCACGTTTTTTATCGCGCCTAACTGTCAAACTCCATAGTAATTTGACAGTTCAGCGTGATAAAAACGAGCTATACTTATATCATATCGCGGTGCTCATGCTAGGGGGACAGGAGGCTTAGAGTAACAATTTAAAAACGATAACGAAGCGAAGTTAGAAAAAAAAATGTATGAGAATGACATACCTAATCGTATGCCGCGCTAAATCACACGTCGATAGCTCGAAGCGCGCGATTTCATCCACTTCGGCTCGCGAGTTACCTACATATTATTATAATGTAGACAACGTTAAAAATTATTTCACATTGAAATTGCTCATCGCATCGCTGCCGACCGCCTTTCCATCGTTAAGCAACCCATATTAGCCTACAAGAAAACGGGAATTTGGCATAAATATATTTTGTACCTTTTAGGTCCTCGACAAGTGGACACAGTAGTTCTAAAAGTACTGCATCAATGGGAAAAAGCACAACGGCTGCACATAAGGTTTATCCTGACGTAGTTCTGCCTAGGAAAGAAACTAGAGAGTGAGTTTTTGCTTGTATCCAAACACAAATAATACTTCTTCTTCTTCTTTACTTCCATATCCATACTAATGTTATAAATGCGAAAGTGAGCCTTCCTCTTCTTCGCGCTCAATTCACTGAACCGATTTAGATGAAAGGTATAAAGATATTATACGAAAAGCATAGGATATTTTTTTATTCCAGAAATCACCGTTTAAGGGGCGTACAGGTGTAAGTTTGTACAAATTATACATATGGGAAACATTAACACACAGACGAAGTCGCGGGCACCCATTAGTAGGTGCCTAAAATAATTTTGATTCCAGCCTGAGGGAGGCAACAACATTATGAACTCTTAACACCAGGCAAGTTCTTATTATTAGTCCGGGGCACAATACGACAAAAGAGCGGCATCCCGCTTCATACCCTGGTTTACCTGATTATGAGTTTGACCGATTTTAATGCTGTTGCCTATTTATGTAAACGTTTTTCTACTACACCCAAATTTCGTTTCAGATTATTCTATCCCCCGTCGTTCCCTGATGAACCGGAAAAGATTCGACCGTGTAGCGAAACCCAGCGACGTCGCTGGCAAAACCGGCTCATGAAACTTCTTCATCCACACCGTTGACCGTAAACATTTAGCTAACTAACTACCTATATACATTATTTGATATTTCTTTTGTTGTTGTTTGAAAACGGTGCAATGCATAGTTTTTAATGCGATAGTATCAATTACGTTAACTGGTTTTTACAATTCGATCATCCGAAACGAATCAATGCAAATACAAAGGAGATTGGGCATCTTAGTATGGAGCTTGGGGACGAACTAAAGATTTTTGTACATCAATCAAATAAGCTTAAAAATATTGCTTATACTTAATACTTTTAGGATTTTTTTATTTCTTTAAAATCCGTACTCTCTGAGCAAAGTTATTGGACTTTAAAGAAATATGTCTACATGACCTCTTTTTACGATTCCCGCTACTATGCAACTACTGTAATCTTAATATTACATACCCATAATTACGCACATAATCCTAAAAGGGGTTGAGCAGTGCTGCAGGTAACATTTGTTTACACATTTTATTATTTAGCATTCGTCATTATCATCAATTTACACGGCAATATAGCAAGAAATCGACTGACAGACAGATCTGAGTTCTGACAGTGATCACAGTGACAGTGATCACAGTGACACTGACAGACACTGTTCACATTAAGTCGTCTTTTGTAGATAAATCATATTCACACGAATAATATGTTCTATTATTCTTTGTATATGTATTTTCGTATCTTGGACTAGTTCTAACAATGTTAATAACATGAACAAGGACGTATAAAAAAAGGCGGACAGAATTTCGGCTAAGACAAAAGTGAGGCACCGTAATGGCGGCGGTTATCTATGAGTGAGTGAATGCAGGGTTGCTAGGTTAGCCAATTTTTTACCAATAAAACACAGTAAAAAGATCAAAATATTTTAATTGTTCAAAATTTTACCCGACTGCGGTGGATAATGTTTTTCGAGCGTGTATGCATGTATGTATGCCCAATAATAACGCGCCAAAATGAAACCTTTAGAAAAAAAATGCTTATAACCCGTCAAGCGAGGTATCAAAGTAAAGGGTCTTAAAAGAATGCAGTGGATCCCCGGTAGTCCGACAAACATTTTGCAGGGCAGTGTCGAACTATCGAATTTGTCGGATTATAGAGTACTGCCTAAGACCCCCTATAGTCCGAATTTTTTTACAAAAGAGTACCTTGTAATCCGACAAATTACAGATCCAATGATAAGATTACAAAACATACTTTGTTATGTATGTCAAATTTAGTAAATTAAACAACACAACAGAAAGATTATGTTTTATTATAAAAGTAACTCGGGCACTGCCGCGGTAAAGCTATTGCATAGAATTATTTGTCAACTTATGCAATAATACTATTTATTTATGCAGTATTTTTTTTCTTTGATATTAATTCAAGTTTTTTCTCTGATATTAATAGATGGCGAGGCAGGCCTTATGATATTTTATTGGGCAAGCACAGCAAACAACAGCATTGCCCGGCGCCAAAAAACTTCCACATGCTCCACAGTTTACCACCTTAGGTCCAAAAATTATAATTATAAAGTCTAAATAAAAGGGAGACAAATAAAAATAAGAACAGGTGCTGGGGTCTAAAACAAATATATAAAAAATGGAAAAAAAATATAATAAAAAATAAAACACGAGTGCGGGATTTGAACCGACGACCGCGGTGATGCGTCGAACGTTGGTCCCGTGGCAAAAATTTAACACACTGCACCGTTTCGATCTATACTGGAAAGGCGAAAATTGTGTTCATACGCACTGTTTTTAAGTTGGCATTGATCGAAATGTTTTGTTTAAATATTATCGTTAGTAATATTATTTATCGTTGAAAATATTTTAAAACTTTTGTTTCATTGTAGGTTTTTTTAAATAATCAAAGTTAATTCAAACTATTATATATAACAAATATTGACTTTTTTTATATTCCACTTTTTTTTCAACACTGAACTTAGCGCACTTTGCTGGTGCATTTGAAAACTAATTCACGTTCCAATTAATCATCAGCATAATTCGGCATTGGTAGCCACTGAGTCGCATTATGCTCTGTAATTGGAAAACTAACATGAAGTCTGTTTTTATTTTTGTATGAAAAAGTTTATATTTTCCACTTTTCATAAGCCAGAGTAAATCACCTAAATATGCCTGGCCAGGCCTGCATTCTTTTTTATATTTCTTAAATTAACAAAACATGCATTGAGTACTGTTTGTAATTGAGGAGTTCCATTGTTTCAATCCGAAAATACTCATCAGCTCTGCACTTAATTAATACAGCCATCTCGCTAATAAACTGATTCAAACAAAAAAATAATCATCAAAATCGGTCCACGAATCTCGGAGATATGCACGAACAACAATTGAAAAAAAAAATAACAAATATGACGTATAGAACCCCTTTCTTTTTGAAGTCGGTTAAATTTTTTAATTTACCTTTTGAGGTACTGCATGCGTAACAACACGCCGGAGTCCTCTTTTAGTAGTATATAAGTCTCCAGCTTCAAAATGGATACTGCAAATGACACTATATTTATTTGGAATCCATTCATCATCTCCGTTACAATTCCTAATAACTTGGATCCAGTCATTTCTCCATTCTACATTTTCTTTAGGGAATCTGATAAAAAAGAATAACAAATAATAGATTGAAGCTAATGTCACCCCAATTTCCCATATTTTAGGTAATATGGTTACGTGAACATTGACAACACTGGACTTTAGATTAATTATTTTGTGCTTAGAATGAAAATTGATTTCGATTTCTAAAAACTAGAAAAAAGTGATTATATTGTTCATTTACCCATGAAACGTGATTCCTGGATTTTTTTTCTTTCGGTCACTACGGTTTTTACACCATTTTACCACGCAAGACATCTTGTTTTAACTTATTTTTATCTCCACTTAACGTATCGGCTGCTTTGACGTTTGCACGCGTAATGGCTGACTATGGTGTGAATGTGTGTGTGCCGGCTTGTACATATAGCGACCTGGCCGACTCTGAGCGACACAGTTTGTTGTTTGCCGGGACTCTGTCCGCCTTTTTTTATACGTCCATGAACATGAATAGGTTAACATTGGAAACCTAAGTTGACGTTTCGGAACGCGGGATCCGGATATCGCTTGGATTGTCGAGACGACCGACGTCCCGTATAGCAACTGGCCACCAAGCACCGAGCTTATCACATAGGAAATCATTCTTCATTTTAAAAATATCGCATATTTTTCTGAGTACGAAAATTGCTGAAATTTGGTATTTAGTCATTAATTTTGGTTAAGGATTTTTGACAGTATTTTCATTAGTGTACAATTGAGAGATAAAAATCCCTAAAATGCCCAATCTCCTTTCATATTTACAACATTACTAGCGGGTCCCGCAGACGTTATTGTCATATTGTAAATCTTACCCATCCGAATCGCTCTCACACATCTTACTAGAATACATACAATTTTTTATCGAAATGGGTTCAGCCATTTAATGAGATTTCCATTACACACACTGGCAGTAATACTACAGCATGAAGATTGATATACCTACTTACATAAGAAAACCTTTCTATTAGAAAAGGTGATTGACAGAGTTCTTTGAAAATTGCATTACGATAAAAATGTGGAACTAGTGATTATTACAATACAATCTATAAATAAAGATCAATATATCAATATTATAAAAAAAATGTCAGCTAAAAGGAATAGAACTAATATCTTTATTAGGTAATTTTATTAGGAAACCTATCGACTATTATATTTCTTACCTCTATTTATTCCGCATGGATTTATAAATATTTATTGAATGTGTTGTTTACATACTTACCTAATTTTAAATATAAGATTTGAAATAAAGACAGTCTTTTTAATCTATGACAACGATATAATCTTTACATCATTTAATAACTTGTGTATGTCAACAAAGCAGCATCATAAGCTCCAACCGCCACGTAGGTATTTTTTTGGTTTAAATAATTACCCAAGTCTGAATGCCTCCCATGAGTTCTGCGTAGGTTTGGCACTTATTTTATATATTTGCAAATATGATAATTTAGCCCTTATTTATAAAATTAATTACGCATTTCATCGAGATCTCAGTGTTTCTAAAAGAAAACAATGTTATAAGGTGGATGTTTAAGTAAAACTTTACTTTTTAGGTGGACAAACAGGAACTTTTTGGGAGAGTATAACTGGGGAAAATAAAGAAAGTCCTTATAACTTACAAAGCTAGTTTGCTTTCTTATTATATTTACTTAAATTCACGGCAACCGTTGGAACAGCACTAAGATTGAACTTCAAATAATAATAATAATAATCAACATAGAAATATGTTACTCCTATCGAACAATACACGGACGTAATCATCAAAGGTAAAAATGGTAAAGTTTTGTCCAGACCCCAGGCGGGATGAATAACATTTTCATAAATAAAAAACGCTAAAAGACCATATAAGTACAATGTTTCAGTATGACTTAAAAGTGGTAATCTGAAATATCTGCGCCTCCTAGCACCTTTTAGCTTGGCTGGCATATAAAAGAACGGAATGTTACTAAAACCAATTGCTGAATATGTAAACAATATAAATAATTTAATCGAAAGCAGATTTTTCGGATATAGCAGAGGGAATAACGAATAATGTCCAACCACAGATAAAATCAAAAATAGCCTTCCGTCAACTTCGCCAAGCACAGACATGAAACTGAAAAGAAAGAAAAATATATATTTATACAAACAACTTTTAAACTACAGGTAGGTATGTGAATATTAAGATTAAGGACATATTCGTCAGATTCCTTTTTCGTCAGAATAAATTATAGGCTCTTTTTTTCTGACTAAAACGGAATTTTAGTCAAATACCGCTTTCGGCAGAATAAAAGGCTGTTTTTTTTTCTGATAATAGCGGAAATCCTAGATTTAGGATTTAGTTTTATGGTCAAGGTTAAACGGATCAATCTGAAAAGATCCATTGGCCAGATTCATGATGGAAATAGTATTTTTTTATAAAAAAAAATAGTAAAAGGAGATAATAATTATATCCAGAATCTCTTAGTCATGTATGCTCTCCTTTTTATGTTATAGGGGGCATACGAGCAGACGGTTCACCTGATGGTAAGTGATCATCATCGCCCATGGACACTTGCAACACCAGAAGTATCACAAATGCGATGCCGGCCTTTAAGGAAGGAGTACGCTCTTTTTTTGAAGGTTTTTGGGTCATATTGGTCCGGAAACACTGCTGGCGACAATATATTCCACAGTTTTGTCGTACGTGGTAAAAAAATCGACAAAAACGCCCGGTTGTGGATAGCCACGCATCAAGATGATGGGGATGAAATTTTTGTCGCGATATACGATGGCGAAATGCAGCAGCTGGAATTAATCCGAACAATTCCTCAGAACACTCCCCGTGATAAATGCGATAGAAGATGCAGAGCGAAGCTACATCCCTACGCAAAGCCAAAGGATCAAGCTGATCGGAAAGGTCCTGGTCGTCGACGATTCGAGCCGCTCGGCGTTGGATGCGATCCAAAAGAAGAAGCTGGTACTGGGGTGCCCCCGCCCAAAGATGAGAGCAGTACTCCATGTGAGGCCGAACTTGTGCCTTATAAAGTTGCAGTCGGTGGGCCGGTGTGAAGTACATTCTTGATTTATTGAGCACACCAAGCTTCTTAGAGGCCAATTTGGCCTTGGCTTCTAAATGATCCCGAAACTAGCGTCGCCCGATATGTCAACGCCAAGAATTCCAATACTAGCTGAGGCAGTTAGAGGAGTGTTCTCAAAAAGAGGAGATACGACAAATGGTATTATTTTTTGCGGTGAACGCGCATACTTGTGTCTTCGTAGGGTTAAATTGGACTAGATTAAGTCGGCCCCAATTCGTTACTTGGTTTAACAAAGTTTTGACTTCAGACACAAGTTTGTTCCGGCACTCGATGACGTTTTCCCATGATATGTTAGCGCGGTACCGACCGCGCCAACATATCATGGGAAAACGTGACGGGTGATGCCCTATATACCGATATAGGGCATCACCCGTGCTGTCGTCTGCATTACAATGAATGCCATCAATTTGAAGCATATCATTGATATGAAGAAGAAACAGCGTAGGTGATAGCACACAGCCTTGCGGAACACCAGCGTTTACGGATTTGGAGTCCGAGCATGCACCGTCGACTGCGACCTTGATGCTCCTGTCCGCAAGAAAGCTAGTAATCCAAACGCACAGCTTTTCAGGAAGTCCATAAGAGGGAAGCTTCGAAAGTAGCGCTTTGTGCCAAACCTTACTTACTTTTTCCATAATGATTTTATTAATGGCAAACTACAATGAGAATATTAAAGTTATTAACAAAACATAAGCAAATAAATGCTCATAATTAAATATAATAATATTATATTAATTACATATCGTTAGATTAAGCTTATTGTTTTTTTTTCTAGATGTAAGTTACAAATATGTAGTAAAATATTACCTAACTTTTTTCTGTCCAAAGAGGAATTCCTTTTTCGTCAGAAGAAAAACAGCCTATAATTTATTCTGACGAAAAAGGAATCTGACGAATGTGTCCTAAAATCAATATTAATAACTGTTGAGTAATAATTTAAAATCTAATCGATAATCTCACCTTAGCGGTATAATTATCATTAAGATTGCTTTTTCATGCACATGCCAACCAAACATGAATGAACAGGCTGCACAGACGATCATGCATCTGAAAAATATTAATTTGATTTTAAAATACTTTTTCTTTTTATTAGTCTAAATCAATCGTTTAAGAACTGAATTTTCTACTAGACTTTGCCCGCAAAGTCGTAATCTGCGTAGACGTTTAAATTCTATTTTTTACCGCACATCGCGGTAGTCTGGGAACGAATTAACGGCGGGACCGCGGACTTCTTCGTTCCCGCGATTTCAACCCGCACTCCCGACATGCATTGAGGGGACCTCAGTCCTCAGAATGCGTGTCGGATGTAGGAGTATTTTCTGGTTTTTACTGGTTAGACCCTTGCTAATTTGATCAAGTTTTCGGACTGGGTGAAATGAGTAGGAAGGAGTCAACAAATATCCTCGTCGCACTCTCCCGGTGGCTAAGGAAGGCGTCAAGCCTTGCAGTCAATTGACAATCCCTTTCCGAGGTGATATGACTGCTACGACCTTAATACGAATATAACCAACCTTACAAAACTCAAGCCCCTATATCGGCGGTCAGCTCCCAGATGCCATAACTTTATCAAGGCAGGTACCATTGAGAGGAATGTCAGTATGAATGTGATTATAGGTTTCACTGATGGAAGGACAGCATGATCATATTCTTGAACCAATCCACCGGTCATTGCAGCTTCTGATTTCGGAACCTCAACACCAGCCTTTTTTACTACAAAAATAAAATAACATTATTTTTTACGAGGGCATAGACGCGTGGGCTGTTGCGGCAATACCTTTAGCCTTTATTCGTGGGGCATACTGAAAATTTCTGGATCTGGCCACTTTTACAATAAGGCTAAGTTCAGACGGTCGCGCATCGACACGCGTCCATCTGTGGCCCATGCATAATTTTTTAACAGCTCCGTAACGTATCGTCGACATCATCATCAAAGGACACACACGGTTCAAATTTGTATGGAGGGTGGTAGTCAGTCTCTGGCAGACTCCAAATTTTTATGACATGTAGAGCACTTATTTGTAAATCGTTTGTCAAAAAACTAAGATTTATTTGATCCCTATTTTATTAATAATTATTATATTTTGAAATGACATAGTAATTGATTGGCAATTAGCAAGTTTATTTATGTAATGTTTGTTGCCAAAGCAGTAATAATTCCGTTCATCTCTCATTGTGTTATTAGATATTTTGTGGGTATTGAATTTTAAGAAAAATAAATCCAAAATTGGTTTATTGGTTAGTTTCACTAGGATTTCACGAATATCGGGCATGACTAGATTAATTAAAATTTTACAGTGATTGAATTGACGTTAATAAACCGGTACTTAGTTGTTCAATACCGTGATCCCGTGATCACGGTATTGAATATGAACTCAATATCAAAGGATATTAAAACGCCCGTTTTATTTCTAATCAGTCTTTATCTTTGTTACATAATAGGTGCCTACATTAAAAACAGGCTAACAAAATATTAAACATACATTATTGTTTCTACCCTTCCCGGTAAGTCTTTTATTAATAGTTCGGCGGGACTAAAAATTGAACTATTTAAAAAAACAAAAATACCGTCCCATTAATTAAACTTCGCATGGCAATCAACATTAAAAATAATTAAATAAATAAATAAACAATAAATATTTCTAACACTCACACCAATTAGCCTAGCCTCAAAGTAAGCACTATAAGCCTTGTGTTATGGGATACTAGTGTAACGGATATAATACATATACTGCACATATATCATCATCATCATCATCAACCTATTAATGTCCCCACTGTTGGAGCACAGGCCTTCCCTATGGATGGAATAGGGAGATTGGGCCATGGCCCACCACGCGGGCCCAGTGCGGATTGGTGGGTGTTAACGACTGCAGATGCAGCCGGGACCAACGGCTTAACGTGCCTTCCGAAGCACGGAGGAGCTAGAGATAGTAAATATTTGGTCACCCATCCAACGACCGATCACTGCGAAAGTTGCTTAACTTCAACGATTGCAGCCGAACGCGCTAACCACTGGCGCCATCGAGCTCCTTTCACTGTACATATATAAGTATATTTATATTGAAATACATATTAAACATCCATTACTGGAGCACAAATGCTCGTATTCATCACACAAACATCTGCCCCCACGCCCCACCGGGATTCGAACCCGGGACCTCTCGAGTCGGCCACGGAGGTCGTCAAATTATTATGGGTTTAATTAATTTATTATGGGGATTACTTAACAATCGTCTATTCATTTACTTTGTAACATTCTATATCATGACTAATCTAACAATGCTTAATAACAATATTCAAAAGAAACGAAAATAAAACGATAAACGTAATCATTAACATCTTAAGATTTTGGCATTTTTTGTGTGATCTTGAAAAGGACAGAGCGTTTAATGACTTATCAGATAGCGAACTTTTCAATTTGTCGCATATATAATTGACCGTGAGATGTGATCTCACACCTTCGATTCGCGGACTACATCGTCATCCTGGCTGACCAGGACCTACAGGAGATGGTGAGCAGCCTGGCTGAATCTTCCAAACGCATCGGTCTCGGGATGATCTTGGATTAAACCAAGGTCATGTTCAACGAGTTCGTTGATACAGGACTGGTTGCTGTTAATGGAGTACCTCTCGAAGTTGTTCAGGAATATGTCTATCTAGGACAAACGCTCCGATTAGGCAGAAACAACTTCAAGAGAGAAACCAATAGAAGAATTCGAGAAGTGGACACTCACGGTTGGACTGGTCCACCAGTTTAAAGTCGCTCAGAGAGCTATGGAAAGGACTATGCTCGGAGTATCTCTGAAAGACCGCATCAGAAATGATGTAATCCGACAGAGAACCAGAGTCACCGACATAGCCCACCGAATTAGCAAACTGAAGTGGCAGTGGGCTGGTCACATTAGCCGCAGAACTGACGGTCGTTGGAGCCGTAAAATTCTTGAGTGGAGACCGCGACTCGGTAAACCTAGTGTAGGACGCCCTGAGACAAGTTGGGATAATGACATTCGTAGCCGGGCTGGATAAGAGTGGCAGAAAATCGGGAGCAGTGGCGTGTAGGGGAGACCTATGTCCAGCAGTGGACGAACATAGGTTGTGATAGTGGACCGAAGAAAAATCTCTCTCAGCTTTTACACTTGTAGGTACTATTACTAGGATAGTAAATATTTGTAAGCTGTAGATAAAAATATTTACCGCCACCTATTTCAAAGACGCACATCTGTACTCTTATTATTGATTCAAAATCAGTACCTGAAGCTGCAGCTGAAGTTTTCGGTAATTTAGATATTTCTCTCTCCAACTGTTTCTGGAAGGACACATCGTCATCCTCAAGACTTGAATTTAACGATTACGATGAAGTAGAAGGTTCTTCTGTACCAACACTAGCAACCATCTACTAACAGCTGGAGTATTCAGTTGTTTATTTTTATATCTCAAACGAGTCAGTAAGTTAACGATAATTTCATGCAATTCATCAGATGTTAGTTTTTTGAAAATGTCACCTTCGCTATCATTATCACTAAATTAAGCTTCAGGTGATGGAAGGAGAAGGCCGGGAGGCTCAGCCCCCACAACTTGAATCAGTGAAAGTTAGGCATGAACGCGAGCGAGTATGACTGTAATCTATCTCATGCCTAACATTTCATCTTATATTCATATAACTCAAATAAAGATTTGTTGATTTATAATAGGTACCGTAAAATCAAGGTATAGACTGAATACCGGTATTGAAGAATACCAATAAAAAAACGTGATTATGGTATTATGGGATCCCGGAATACCGGTTTTGAAAGCCCTATGATAAGTTATTTTCTCTGCATTTAAAAATATCCCATAAAATAAATATAAATATCTGTTCATGTTATTACATAAAACAAGCTTCGAGATTGTTCAAAGTGTTAGTCGGTTTCCGGCAGCAATGAACATACATATATCATTTCATAGCTGGTTTTATGTAGTAACATGAACAGATATTTATAAATCTTTAATTATCTCCGATTAATTTTAAATCTTGTTTAAAAATTGATCAATTTTGTAAGGATGCTGGGCACCCTATCATAAGTAACGTCATATTTTTAGTGTGTGGCAGCTTACAAATGTCAATCAGTGCAGCCAGTCCAGTCATGCTTGATTTCATGAAATCACGGTGAACTTATTATACCAATTATGATTGATTCTTCTTGAAATAAAATACCCACAAAATACCTAATAATGTAATGAAAGATGAACAGAATAATTATCACTGCTTTAGTTACCTTTTGAATTGAATATATTTGATGTTTGGGAACAAAAAATAGTTAAATAAACTTGCCATTTGCCAATCAATAATTATATTATTTTATATTATCATAATAATTTAAAAAAACAGGGCTAAAATAAATTCTAGTTTTTTGGCAAGCTTTTTTTTTACAATTAAATGCACTACATCTCATAAACATTTGGAGTCTGTGGGAGGCCGATTACCATCCTCCATATAAATTTGAAGTCTCCTTTAATGATACAGGTGTATTAAACTGTCACAATTCATACAGGATTTACAAAATACGAGTATTCAAAAGGCGTCTACAAGTTGAACGTACTGTATAATTTAATTAACTTTATTTTAACATTTTGCATGCTACTTACGTGCGTAAAACAGAACTTTATCAGCAAAATTGTATAATGCCCAGAAGTTAGGTGCCCAATATGCATGTGATAATCCTCTTTTAAATGGAAACAGTCTGGAAACAATCTGTAAGTATTAATGATTGTTACACGCACTGAACAGTAGAATAAAAAATTAAGGTAGAAATTGTTTCAGAATTTCTAAATCTCTCACCTGGGGGATATGATCAATGAATGGGCCATATGATAAGCCAAATATACCAATAACAGCAATGGCAAGTTTCATTAAGTTTAGCATGGAAAATGTATACCAAGGAGTATGAGAGCCATCTTCAGTTGGCACTGTGAAGCAATATGCTCTGAGTAAATAAACCACATATACAGGGGCCACATACAAATAAATGTGTTTAAAATTCAATAACACAGCAAACCACAATGCTGATTGGATGTTGTTACCCTGAAATATTTAAATCAAAATGAATTTATAATTTTTAAGTAATAATCCAAGCTATTTAAACTTCAATACCTTTATCATATTGGATATAGAAAACAGAAGAAGGCCATAAAGGAAACCATTATATTGAAAATGTATATGGTCAACCATCAATAATCCAGCATTAGTAACCAATAATATGTACACTAGTAGCTTTCCATTACTAATTAGATTGGAACAACTGAAAATATCACATTGAGAAACATCAAAAGATACAATTATTACCAGACTTAACAGATGTAATTTTTTGGCAAATAAAATAAAAATGGTTTTAAAATATAATATATAGGGTGAAATTGAATGTTTTAATGAAACTTCGTGAGATTGTTGGGTTACGAGTATAGAGTATGCCTGATTTTTTTCGGATTTTTTTGAAGTATTTTTTTTTGTCCTTTCCTCCTTTTGAGTAGTTATTCATATTAAACAAACATGCTTACATATCCAGTGAAAAACAACTAATAAATAAGCACTTCTAAAAAACGGAAAAACAGTAAAATTCCACCGCAGGTCAACGACCGACTGCGCCCGCCAGCCGTTGAGTGAGTAGGTACGTACACAGAGCTCAGCTGACTCGTTTGATTCCACACAATACAATAAAATCGTCTTAGATGCCTTTATTGAAATTGAAATAATAAGCACAAATGTCATCTTCTCTTAAGCAGAGAAAAACTTAAAAAGTTAATAATAATTTTGTCACGATTGGAAATAGGCAAAAGTTAAACAAAAAGAAATACTTATTGCAGTTCAATACTTGGGTCAGAATGAAATTTATTACCAGGTATTCAAAAGTACTTACGAGACCGATGTACCCATTAATTTTTTTCTCTATAACTTCCCAATAAATCACCAAACCTACTTTCGTAAAGCCTTGTGGCTCTGCTGAGTATTCCGTGACACTCGCAATAACAACACACCATATCCAAATTCTTATATTGAGGGCACAGAACAAGAACTAATCAAGGCATTATTTGCAAATCTTGTCTTGTCACAAATTTAAAAGATACGCACGCGCGCTTGAGACTCCTCTCGCTCACTGCGCTGTGCACCGCGCATACCTAGATAGGTAGGCAGGAAGGTATTCAACGGCGGGAGCGGTCATTGCTCCCGGCCGCCCGTCTCCTGTTTTTACGTCTTTTTTAGTAGTGCTTATTACTTGTTTTTTACTTACTCTGTATGCATGTTTTAAAAGAATAATTATTTAGTACCCAAAAGGAGGAAAGGACTTAAAATATAACAAAAAAAAACAAAATTTTATTTTAAATCATTTTTTAAAAAATCCGAAAAAATCAGAGTTACTCTATATACGTAACCCAACATTCCCACGAAGTTTCATTAAAACATTCAATTTCACCCTGTATAGATTACAACAGTAATATTTTAATTTTCTTTCTTTGTCTATATGAATAGTATATATGTTACTGTAAAAGGCTGAACCATGGTCTGAACAGTTATGAGATTTGAACTTTTAGCACCATTCTCTTGGTAAATCTTAGGATTTATAAAAGGCATGTTGAATGTTGAAAAAGACAAGTCATTACGTGCTCTGTGCATCATCTCGTTCTCATGGGCAGTCTGCAACTGTTAAATAACAAATTTGTTTGTAACAAGTACTATTTATACTATCTATTTATGTGTGTAATGATAATTAATTCTGATTTGAAAAAGTAATAACAAAAATACTAAATCAGTTAGATTAGCCATTATTTTAATTCCAAAACTAACATTCACCAGTCATGAGTGGTAAAACCTTGTATGTACTAAAATGTAATGGTAAAAGCCCGAAACAATTGTTCCTTTTTAATAAATTTGTTAATTTAATTTACTAAGTCATGTGGGTAAATCCCAAGATTAGAGATGCGCCGAATGTCGGTTCAACCAAATATGAATGTTCGGCAGAATATTCAGTTCCAAATGTACAATTCAATTTCAATTTTGCGCGGCAAACAGGTTTATACAAGTCTGTGCTGCACTCTACAAGAGAGGGGTGCGTTCTTATTATAATTATAAATATTTAATTGATGATTATTACTAAATAAGAGTTTTTATTTTTTCTGATTTAATGGTAATTTTAATAAGTATTTTGTCAATAAAGAATTGTTACACAAATAAGTGTCTTTCATTTAAAAAAGGTCAAAACTACCCGAAATCGTCGAGCATGTATGAGAACTGTAATGAGAGTAGATGAAGCGAAAGAAGTATGTAAGGATCGTAGCAAGTGGAAAGAAGTAATCTCTGCCTACCCCTGTGGGAGAAAAGCATGACTTTATGTATGTATTCAGTTATAAAAACTGTGTACCAACAGTTCTCACAATGAACCATACCTTTTTAATTAAACTTAATTATGAAAGGAAAACATTGTTTTGAAATAATAATAATAATTTAATTATTCCATAATAATTCGGCACATCAACCGAATATTTGGCCGAATACATACTTTAAAAAATATGCCGAATATACCGAATACGAATATTATTATTATTATTGAGCAATATATGGGCTTATGCAGTAACATATACAAAGAAAGAGTAGGATGATTTTCAAATCATCCTATGACATCCATCCCTACATAGGACATTATCAATTTCTGCAAAATATACAAAATACCATAGTTCTCACAATACATATGGCCATAAATAATTTTCATATTCAAAATACAAATTGTTATCACACCTTCATTGCCCGCACACCTCTAAATCCAGCCATACATTACCAATTACAACATTACAAACGGGACATCAGGTGGTCTGACAGGAATGAAATTGCTATCCAACCTAGATGGATATATTGAATAGTAATGATTACAAACAACTTCCTTTCAGGATAGCAACCTACCTTTTAGCTCCAAAGAAGTAAACTAAATCCAAAACTATTACAGAAAGTCTTTGAAACAACACGGTCATGTCAGAACTGTAATTCAAATTCTTCAAATGCAGCATTTCAGGATCAAAGAATTTAGCGATATGAGACAAAGCGTATTCCAGCCAAGCGAAGAATGGAGGATAATCCAGTGTCCATTCTGAAGTAGTATCATAATACCACTCTGAAATCGTCAGGTTGTGTGTTACAGCCAACCAGTTTCGATGAACCTCAAAATCTGTAGAAAAGCTAAAACAATATTAAATAACCTTTAACGATTTCTACAGCGATCAAAATTTCATAGATGTAACTTGTGTTACTTACTAAAACGGTATGAAGAAAACCTTGACTGTAGTAACTATTAGAGCGATTTGTAAAATCATTTTAGGTTAAATTTAAACCAATATATTATACCATTTCTCATACTATCGTAACTTTACAATTAAATTTTTCTGCAACCGGTAAACAACAGTTGTGTAAATAATTAATTTTGATATTCTTCTCAATGTAAACAAACATTACAAGAAAGGCCGAGAGTGCTGCGCTCAATGCTCTGAGACATAGAGTACATTGTTATATAAAGAAACTCTGAGATTAGGCTTGTTGAAAATATATCGATGTATCGATATTTTTTGCCGATATATTTTGATTCGATATATCGATACATCGATACAAAATAACCAATATCGAAATTCGTATCAAAAACGATATTTTTTTAATTATTAGCGGCATATCACGATCTAACTAAATTCGTATCTGGAAAAATCGTAACTGGATCTCAGATCAATGATATACAACATATCTATGATCTGTGCGGTATTTAGTATTGTCTATGACATCATTCGAAAATAGGGTCTATTTTTAGGGAGATAATTTTCGTTCCATTATTATTCCGCGTGTCATATTTCGTGAGCGATATTTTTGGGAAAATTGTTCCGATATATCGATATATCGATGTTTTTTTCGCGATATATCGAAGCCGATATTGATATTTTTTAAAATATCGATACATCGATATTTTTTTCAACTTTCGACATCCCTATCTGAGATCTGAATGCAGCTTTTCACACAACTTTTTACCTTGATGACGGCACTTAACTGGCTATTTTGGTTTGCTATTTGTAAACTTGACATCAGTGTGCCCTTTTTATTCCTTATAAAGCATGACAAGGACAGACTGCTGTCAAATTCACAAACAGCGAATACGAATTGCCAAATCAAGTGCTAGCATGACATTTAACATAAAACGAATGAAACTAAAGTCAAAATTGACATTGGTTGTATCTTGAGCGTAGGTTTAGAACGCAGCTCTGCACAGATAAATGGTGTAGAGTAGTGATGTGCGGCATTGAGTATCAATTATTGATAAGAGTGGTATGCTTTGATCATTTAACATATATCTAAGACAAGTAGACTAGAGACGCCTTTACAGACAATTTTCCCTCTGTCATAAGATACAAGAACATTGTTTTAGTACATTTATGAAAACTACTTTTTGAATTGACTCAAACTCATAATATTAATCGATACCGATATAACGACAGCTCTACAAAAACGCCTGGAGTCTGCAATTCCGTGCAACAGGGGTCCAAACACATCGAATTTACAAAAAGATAGGATTATCTTTCATATTATATTAGTTTTTTTTTTGTAGTTGAATAGGCTAGTTGACTCATGTCGAATTGTATTAAATAAATGTTTATTTCTTAAAGTATTTTGTCTAAGGAACCTAAATATATCGATTTCACTTCATAAAAGCAGAAGATTGCTGTAGAAATTTAATTTAAAAAAACAATTTTTAGTCTATACTTTTTAAACACTAAAAACGCTGTTCGCCACATCCGCCATGATTGTGACGTCTGTTTTAGTAAACAACTAAATGTCATTCATACATAACTTTAAAACTTGTATTATTAAAACTGATAATAAATTAAGAGACTTAAAATATTTTTCAATGAGTATTTACATCAAAGTGATCTTCGCAAAAATAAATTTTACTATGAGTCGTTAAAGTTGCAGGATCCCTTTTAGCAAGTTCTAACCAGATATTGCGTAGGTTAATTTCTTTCGGCACTTTAATCCACAACTTTCCTGGAGTCTTCAAAGATGTGTTTTTACATTCTCGTACAATACAATAATAATAATTACTATATTTTTCGTGGTATCTATTAGAAATCATGTTTTCTTTTTATTATAAACTCAGATGGGTTATTTTCTACGTGCTTACGAGTTTTTGTTTACTACTGTCAACGTCATAGCATAGATAATCTATTGACTAAAATGGCCGGCAGCGTTTTTGTATGTCCATGAAAAGTCTATTTTAAAATTAAAGATTTGTAGCTTTCTAGGTCTCAAAAAAATACAATACATTTTTTTCGGTCTAATAGAACATTTATTAACCATTTAAAACCTTTTTCCAAAAAGGGTCAACTAGCCTATTGTTGAGTCGAAGTCTCGTCGATAAAAAACTAACAGTATCTATACGATAAGACGAAGATTCTTTCAAAAAGTAAGTAGGAATATTTTATGAAAAGGCGCGAAATCACGAATGAATGACAAAAATAAAAGGTAAAATTCATAGCGATGTGACGAAAAATGAATGGTATTTTTACACTGGAAAACATTCAATCTCTTATAAAAAAAAACAAATATTCAATCAATCACGATCTATAACTTAACCAAACAAAGGTGGCAATTCTTGCATGGTTCTTTAAGCTTAAAACTGAATTTAATAGTATCTCCTTTTCATTCGCCCCCGCCCGCTTTCGCAACTGGCAACTTGCGCGAATTGCAAGGGCCCGCATCCAGCAAACCACAGTACGTGCCCCGCGAAACTCCCCGAGGCGCGCAACAGGAAGGCCTCCACTGTGGCCCGATCAGGCCGCACGCCCAACCAACCGCCACCGAAACCAACAGAGGTGAGTGAGCACGCACCGGCCACACTCATGGCACCGGCGAACGCTCCGCCCGCCCAAAAGACATCGAAGCCCCGCCGCCGACGCAACAAACTAAGCCGCCCCACCTCCAAACAGAGTGAAGAGGCGCCACCCGCTACCAACCCACCCGACGCAGCCACTACCCGTTCCGACGCAGCCAACCCTACAGCTCCAGTAGAGGCCCCACCATTCGACTTCTCACAGATAGACATCCAGGCGTTCAGCGCGGACCTCGCAAGCCGGATGCTGGAAGTCTTTAAAAATTTCGGGCAACCGAATTTTTAACACACCCACCACTTAGAGGCGCTCCCCCCTCTCGCCTAAGTCCATCGCCCGCTCGCTGGTCGCTCACTGGGCCTCCCCCATGGGTCTCACCTAAAGATGTAAGGCCGGTTTAAAACCAATTAAACCAATCCGTTTAAAACGAAAAAAACCGTTTAAAACCGAAATAAACCATTTTTTTCGATTTAAAACGGTTGGTGTTGATGACTATGTTTTTCTTAATTATAACGACATTTGTGGCGATTCTGGCAGGATTCTCTAAACTTAAAACTAATTTCAACATCCGTCTCTCCTTTTCATTCTGTATAGAGAATGACAAGGATACACTGATGTCGATTCTGGCATGATTCTCTAAACCTAAACTTAAATTTGACAACAGTGCATCCTTGTCCTTCTCTGTACAGAATGAAAAGGTGAGACTGACCTTTAATTTAGTTTTAAGTTTAGAGATGCACGCCAGAATTGACACCACTGTTGTCAAAATTAAGTTTAGGTTTAGACAATCATGGCAGAATCGACACCAATGTCTTGATTTTACCGAGGTAGGAATATAACGGATTATCTATAAACTGTATAAAGATTTTTTAAATGTGTGATATACTTACTGATATTGCTTACTTAGCGAGTTTAGTTCTAATTGGTGACCAAGCATAGGTATTACCTACCTAAGTTATAAAAACTCATATCATAATTTACTGTCTACTCTACTCTGTGTTGGTAAATAAAAAAAAACATTGTTTTCAAACGATATAAATCAATTCAATCAATTTGATTCGGTTTAAAACCAAACTCACACTCGCATTCTCGTCGCAAACGTTGCCAGCTCGTCTACCCTACACACACATGCACATACATAAACTGCCGGCCGCCACGCCGCGCACGCACACTTCTCAGGCGCGAATACAACAGGGGGTAGGTTGGGGCCTGGATGGAGTCTGCTGACAATAACTAGATCATGTACAGTCAGGTCACAAGCCCATTTTAATAGTTAACATCTCTATGTATCTTGTTGTATATGTGCTTTTAAAAGTGACCCCCTGATTGTAGGTACGTTCGCATGTAATTTTTGTATCTAGGAATTTGTTAATTATGATGACTGTTCTTTTGGGTTCGTTATGTAGCTTCTTGAATGAAAGATTATTGGGGCGTTGTTAATATTTTTATTGCAAACTCACATGTTAACAGCTTACCGCAATGGTGGATACCGGGGAAGAGAGCCAGCGGCCCTCGACATAGGGTGCGGCCAGAGTGCACTCAGATTCAGATTCAGATTCAGATTCTGAAAACAAGCGCGAGAAATAAACAGTGTAGTCTAAGCAGGTTGCCTGCTTTTTCTCGCGCTTTGTTTTCTGAGTCTGAATCTGAATCAGGAGTGCAATCTGGCCGTACCCTTCGACTACACTGTTTATTTCTCGCGCTTGTTTTCGAAATCTGAATCTGAATCTGAGTGCACTCTGGCCGCACCCATAGACAATAATAATTTATTTTAACCATAGACTACAACATGCCCTTTTTTTTTGTTCTGTGGCTGTTTCCGTTTCACACAGAAATTTCGCCAATATCCCGTAGTGAGAGAGACATTGCTCGGTAATTACCAGATAAAAAAAATAATATTTTATCCGAATATCACTTCTTCCTTGAGCTTTTATTATTGTTCTTCTGAAAGCATGCACGCAGACAACACAGGTTTAAATTATATAAAGTGTAGGCAATTTAATCGGTAGAGAACGACATTCCATCTATCAACGAGGACCTAAAGGAGTGGGAGAACAGGGTATACCTCGCCCTGTTCGCTGATGACAGCGACTTTTTCACCTCCGCAGCATGGCCGAAGGCGGCGGCCATGAGAATGCAAAGGCAGCTTGACAAACTCCCCAAATGGATGGCACAATGGAGAGTGTCGGTAAATGTGGGCAAAACCGCCGCCATATGCGTCACCAAAAAACGCCCTCCGCCCAAACTCAAATTAGACGGACACGAAGTAAACTGGGCCAGCTCTACAAAATACCTGGGGGTCATTATAGACAAGAATCTGTCCATGGCCCCCCACGCGGAAGAAGCCATTATAAAGAGCCGCGGCGCCAGAGTAGCGCTCCGCCCCATCCTCTCATCCAATCTGCCCCTGGGAACAAAGGTGAGCATATATAAAACCTATATTCGGTCGGTACTTACCTACGCCGCGCCGGCTTGGTACTCCCTTTGTTCCCAGATTCAAAAGCAGCGGCTCCAAAAACAACAGAATGTTGCTCTCCGGATAGCCACCAGGGCGGGGCGCTACGTCCGGAATGACGTCATAGCGCGCGACCTCAAGATCGAAACCGTCGAAGAGTTTGTGAGCCGCCTAGCTCGGGCCATGTTTTCCCGGGCCGACCAGGGCCCGTATCTTCATCTCCAGGGCTTAGCCCCCATACCGATTAATTCTGCTTCATCCCCAGGTCCCGGCCGACACAGAAGGGCTCCACGTCCCACACCACCCAGCCTGTTCTCGCCGCCACCCCCCTCCAACCCACCCACTCATCCCCCGTCCTCCCCCGTCCTCCCCCGTCCTCCCCAACCCATTAAACCCCAACAATTACTCCTCACCCCTGCTTGCATAAGTCGCGGCCTGCTCGCTGGCGCTAGCTGGGCCTCCCCCCAGGGGGTCTCACCCGGCTTGGCAGACCGCGCTGAGGGCCGCGCCGCAAGCCTCCTGGCGAGAACAGGAGGAAGAAGAAGATGAGGAGCCGGTGACCAACATCGTCACAAGACGACCGCTGTCCAGCGGTACCCAACCCCGCGGGGGCGCACCCCCGTGAGAAGCAGCCCGGGGAAAGAACGAAAATTCGAACCCGAACCTGTCAACGACAGAAGTCCATGAACGGTAGAGAAAAAAAAAAGTTTAGTTATATTTAGAGAGGATACTAACGTTATAGTTTTATATTATATTTTTTAATATATTTACATAAACAATAAAAGCCAGGCTTGTCAGAAGCTGTTAAAATAGTGTTAA